TTTTTATGTAGTATGAGATTTTGATGATGTTCATGTGTAAGTTTTGAATTCATTCAACTTTTTTGTTATTAGTTTAGCAAGATGAGCTCCTTGTGTTATCAATGGTGTATTATAACATATCAGAGGTCAAATATTATCCTTGATAAATTGAGATTTATGCTTGAGAGGAAATGCCAGCACCCCTAATATAATAATCTGTGACTGATTTACTGATATTATTATATAAGAAATGGATGACACAATGGTGGCAGCCCCATGCCCAACTTACTAAGTATCTCCATGACTAAATTACATATCCATTTTTACTTTCACTTATGTATATATGTAGTATATTGTAAAGAAAAGTATTGCGAATTTTAGAACCTGAGTTTTCGATGAAAATACATGTTTTGAGACCCTCTGAGTCCAAATAACCAAGTTCTACTACATGGTCTCTGTATGTTTATATGTGAACAGCATTGAATATTCAAAAATGAAAAGTCATATGAAACTGATATTATGCATTTAAAGTAGTTATATGCCTGGGATATTACAGCAAGTTATTTTAATTAGACAAGAATTTTATTTTTTTAAAGAAAATATTCTTTTTTTTTTAATTATTCTATTGACTCCAAAAATTTGATTTTTAAAACCCACTGTTAAAGGTTCTGTCAGGGTAAGTTAAGCAAAAGAAATTAAGAGAGATAAATTGTTCCTGGATTTTACCTTATGGTATACCCTTATAAGAAATTTCTATTGCTCAATTCTCTAGTATCCTCCTCTGTCCCGTAATTAACGCAAGAAAATCAAACGCTATAATTTTGATCTTTTTCTTTCTTTTTTTTATATAAACACTGTACATCAGAAAAATCTCTCAATGTTACATTGAGTCATGAACTATCAACAGGAATTTTTGTGTTATACTACAACATTTATAACTCAGCAATCAGTCACTTTTTTCTTGGAAATATACAAAACATTGTGTAAACAATTGAGAAAAATAACTATACCTCCACAAGATGTTGCGTTGGTAATTATAACAAAAGTTATTATAGTTATATATAAGTTATTTTATAATGAGTTATTTAAGTTATAGGGTATCTTTACCTAAACCATATTTTTTAAAATTGCTTAAATATAAATTTAATAAATTAAACCAATTAAATTTAAATAATACTCTAATTATTTTTTAAAATTTGTCCAGTGTTCTTTCATATTACTATATAAAAAAAGTATGTTGGGTTGTTCATGTAAACTGTAGATTAAATTATGTGCGAGAAGTATGTTCTGTTGATAGGATGCTCAACCAGCTGAATTTTCAAACTATTTTCTCTCTGCTGAAGACTTTACAACCCTTAATATTGTTGAGCACAGTGGTGTCGTTGTTTGACCTTCATAAGTATGACATACTGTATCAATAGCATCTCACCAAGGCTTGCATGATCTTGATTATTACATCTGAATGTTATAGATTTACTAAGTACGTTTATAGACAACATGTAACTTTTATGTTGTCTTGTAGATGTTAACATTTTATTTTAAAATGTTTGATGGTTCAGCTTATACTCTTCTTGCTCATAATTCCATTTACACCTTACTTGAATTACCCTGCATACTTTTCTTGTATAATAGAAAGAATGAAAGAAAGTAAATTTTATTCTGGGACATTAAGTCTCCTCAGAATAACTAGAATGAACAGAGAATTGACAATGGTCTGGCAATTGTGAATAATTAAATGACAATTAAAAATAAATGAATTTACAAAATTGTCTTATCTTAATATTAAAATAAAGAAGCATGTAAATTTTTCATAATAATAAAAATTCTTGAAATTAAAAATAAAGACACTGTATTAAACATATGATCTTGAAGTAGACATATGAATTTAAAGATGATTACATATGGGTGAGTTCATGTATTTGTACAAATAAGCAATATTACACATACATGGATATTTGCAACATATCGGTATAGTGTAACTGACATCTTTAAAGTACAAAATAACTTTATTTTACATATATTGAGAAGATTGATTACTGAGGAGGTGGATAAATACATTATGTTTAAATGAGGTCAAGGATGAGGGTTTCCGTAAAGAGGTTGGTTGATAATTTCAAAATGATGTAGCACGTATGATGAAGGACTTTTTAAAGGAAATAGTTCTTTGAGAAGGAATAAAAAAAATTGAGGATTGGGATCTCATGTTGAATGATTGAACAGAGGAACAAGGAGTAAAGAAATCAAGAAGGTAAGAAGGTTTTTTGGTTTTAAAGGTTCGGAAAAGGAATACACCTTGAAAATATTGCTGTTGGAAAACTGGATAGAGCCACTTTAACTCGGCATAACAACTGGAGACATGGGAGCGCCTGGGGACTCTAAGTATAAATCTAATGAAACAATTCATTAGCCTCTTTAATCTGATCTCAAGTCCCCCAGACAGTCCACCGTATACAAGGCAGCCATAATCGAAGTGAGGGAAAATGAGAGAGGAAATCAGGAGCTGACAGATTTTAAGGGGCATAGAGTCACGGAATCTCAGGAACTGTTAGAGGGTAGCAATGGACTTTCGGATAATTTGGAAAATGTGATTATTCCAGGTCAGATTTTAATCAAATATTACCCCAAGGTTTCTTACGGAAGTGTGAAAAAATAATAATGAAGAATATAATGTTTTAGGTCTAAAATGTGGATTCATTTAATATATGTAATGTAGAAGAACATATGAAAATTTTAAAAAAGATTTAAGGCATCAATTTGGATTAGATAAAGATGCTACATAACTTTGGTTTGTTCACCACTACAAACTGTAGAGCTATAATTGTGGGGTGTAACCAAAAAATTCCTGTTGACAGCTCATGATTCAAAGTAATATTAAGATATTTTTCTAATGTACATTGTTTTAAAAAATAAAAAGATGAAAATTTAAAGAATTTGAAGGTCATTGTACTAATTATGGAGTATAGCAGGACTCTAGAGATCTGAGAATTGGGTGATAGTAATTTTTTATAAGGGTGTACATACAAACAATTTATCTCTCAGATATTTGGACAGTTCCTTTGTCTTTTTGAAATTCAATTAAAACAATCTGGCTTTATGAATTTTTAAAATAATGCTTGGTTGTTATTCTGCAAATTATTACACAATGGTGTATTATTTTCAAACAGTTATATTTCATAGGTAACACAACTTTTTTTGTCACATACAGAAAAATAATTAAAAAGTGATTCCTAATATAGGCCTAAATAATTTTGTTTTATCATTAACATTTTGTTAAGCAGTAGAGACAAAAATCTCATTTGCTTATGTGTTATAAGACCTTCCAAAAATTAAAACAAAGAATATCAGTTTGGAGCCAGAACAAGTAAAAAATATTTAAATGAACATATCTTAGCACCAAATCATCCGATTTCAACGATTCTTCTTTTGTTAATTTAGAAATTTTGTAAACTTTCCAATAACCATATACAACTACAAAAAGTGAATACTTTTTGAATTATTCGAAATTGTAATTTTACCATTCATCGTAACTTTTTTCTATCTTCTTTTCGGTGAAGTATGTTATATAGGTAAATATTAAGGTCTTCAAATGAGAAGACTTTAACCAAGTTTCATCGAAATTGGTACATTTTTTAAGGTGCTTACAGTCTATAGTGACTCTGGTTTTTTTGTGGCCATCATGAAAGGAAAGGACGGACGGTAATGCCAAATTCCAAGGATCATCCTCGAGTGCCCTTTGATATTGATACTTAATTTCAAGCGAGTTAGATCAGTGGGTTGGGAACTGATTACCACAGGCGGATTTACGGGGGCGGGGGCTTTCGGGCTGAAGCCCCCCCCCAAAATGGTAAAATTTAACCATGTTTTATGGTCAAATATATAAAAAAATTATGTCTTAAAGTATTATTGCTCGTTCAATTACATTTAATAAGACTTCAAGAATCACTCAAACACCATTTCATATAGGTAGGTAGTTAGTATCTAACTGCTTTTCCAAAGTAATTATCGTTATATATATGAAAAAAAGAGCTTCCGGGCTGAAGCCCCCCCAAAATTGAATCCTGGATCCGCTAGTGCTGATTACCAGAGCTCAAGGTCCCAGATCCGAACCCGGCTTATAGCAGATAAATTATTTATTCTGTTTCATCAGTCATGGATTGACTGTTGGAAGACCAGCCTCTATAAATTGGGTACTCTTACTTAAGTAATTAACGGGAAAAACCTGGCGGTTGAGCATGATTTCGGTCAAATCACCTTGCACAACTGTTGACAAAAAAACAGCACTTTTCAACAAAGTACTGTTCCCAAGACCCTTCATGGATTGTAGTAGTACAAGTTTTTTTTTTTTATAAAAGTAAATTTAAATCTGAACTTTTTATTTTTTTAATGGTCCGGGTTTGCCACTGAATGGTTTGCTAATAACCAAAATATTTTCTTAGTATCTTAATTCACTGCAATATAAAATTATATAAGCTGATCTGCAGAATGCATTCTTAATTCATTTCTTCCATCCTTGATATTCAAAATTTTATTTTTTGCATGATAAGTTTATTTTTTATTTAAAAAAAAAAATAATAAATAAAAATTCTACCCATTCAATATGATTCTGTCCGTTAAAATCAGTTTATCTTTTTTTACCTCCATAATTTCACCATAAAACAAGGACAGAGATATTGAATAATAGCTGTGAGGATAATTAATCTGATAACTGTGAATAGGTTGTGCCATTTTGCAGTGGTGCCCAGAAGGGGGTTTCATGGTGCAAGTTGCACCATCAAAATTTTTGAGGGGGACATATTTTGAAGGGCTTATGAATTTTTTGACTAAGGGGCAAGGGGGAAACATAGAACGGACCGCAGCAAGTGTAATTATCTATGATCTACGATTTTTCTAATTCTACCTTACCTTCTTCTGTTTTTTAAAAAAAGGTGAGGAATAAAATACCTTGGGAGGTGGGTGGCAAGTAGGTTCTTGCGCCATCAACCATGGGAGGGGGGATGGGCATCGCTGCCATTTGATAACAGAATAAGTAAGGAAGCCTAACCATAAATGTATGTAAAGGAAAAAAAATAAGATTCATATTTTCATATATAAATAAGAAAAATATTTCAATGATCACAACAGCTCATTTCATAATTATAAATATCATTTATTGATTATAAACATAAATACATACCTGAAAGAATATCACTCATGTCCTTCTTAAGGTATCCTAGTTCTATATTAGGAGCAGTCACTTCAACATTGTTGTACAGCTCAACATAGTCGAGTATATTTTCTTCAGAATCATCCTAAAAATTTTGAGATACATTACCAAACTATTAAAGTAAATAATTTACATAAATCTCTATAATATACAATGGTGGACAGAATTTCACACACTGTCAAAGTTTATTATTTTAATTAATTTCCACTTCATTATTTTATATTTGAGTTTTTAATTAAATAAAGCAACACCATTAAAAATATATTAATTTCTGTAGTTTTTATAATAATTTAATTTACCAATTTTTTAAAACCCCATTCAGGTACTGGAACATACCCCAAATTCAGGGCTTAAAATGTATGTACTCTTTCAAAATTTTAATTCAATGATAATTAAAGGCTTGCCCAGCACAATCACAATTTCAGAACAGAAAACTTATGAAATGCCTCCCTAAAACTAGATGGTATCTCCTTGGTATGCATTCAATGGATCCATAGAGCATTGAGCAATATTTATATTTTATTACTGCACAGTTGATGTTTTTAATTTCATATTATATACCATATATTGTGGATTTTGATGCATTACAAATCCACAATATACGGTATATAATATGAAATTAAAAACATCAATACACATAAAAACATAATACTATTTAATTAATTCTGGATGAATGGGAATAAACCAGCCATCCATTGACTAGTAGATCTTGGTTACACTCGACCTCATGTTATGAATATCAAGCCTCTTGGCAACCATACACCATACACTGTACCCTTCCTTTAACTGTGAAAAGACTTTTACAAGTATCACACTACACTCGTTTACTTCCCATTTAGTCACTAAACATTCTTTTAAAAAGACAGCTATGAGAAAAAAAACTATTGTGTCTGTAAAAGACCAAATTGAGAGGTGACTAAAATGATTAAAAAGAGATTTAAAAGTCAAACCACAATTTTTCATGTTCCTTGTGAAACTATACTTTCACTTTGATTTTTAAACTTCCAATTATTTTTAAAAAATGAATAGATAATAATTGGGAAAGACATCAACTGGTCTATTAATTTTGTCTTTATATAATGATAAAAATAGTATATATAAATGTTATAATGGTTAAATTTATTTTTAAATTCCATTTATGACATATAAAGAGAATCATTTTATCTGGACTTAGTAATCCTTCAAACTTTAATAAGTTTTTCAAATAAATGTACTTAATTAATTTGAAACTGTATTGCAAGACTAATTTTGCTTTTTATAAATTTAATGTTAACTATTTTTTTTTCCTTTCTACAAATATTTTAATTTTAATTAAGTGGGGATTAGCATTATGAAAAGGATCTTTCTATTCTGAATAAATCTGGTTTAATCACTAATATTTACTGAATTTGACACACTAATTATTTGTGAAAAAATAATATTAAAATACAATTATAAATACCTGAAAGTTTCTACTGTTTCTGGATCCATTTTCATCATCCATACAGGTATACTATTAAATAAACAAATCATTATGAATTATTACTCATTTAAAACAAATAATGGATATTTATTTGTTCCAAATCATTTAAAATATTAAACAAATTAATTAATATGTTAGATGTCATTCTATTAGTTGAACTAGTATTTGATAACTTTTTTGGTAATAATATTTAATAATTATGTGAATCCTACTTTGATATGTTTATACAATATATATTAGTTTGTTTCGCTTTTACCATCAAATGTATCAGTCAAAAGAAATGTTTTACCTGTGGGCATTCCCCTGTACACAACATTAGGAGACATATGTAATGAACAAGGCTGGAGTCAGGAAAAGAAAAGGCTGGAAAAGCAGTAACCCAGGTTCCTGGAGATTTTGCTGGATGGAGAGCTGGTACAAGAGATGGCTCTGTTGGGCACCCTCGGGCATCTGTAAGTGACTGTGAAGAACCATGCCCATCTTCTACACGGCAGTCAACTGGCATGCCAGTAATACCATCTAAAATAACAAAATATAGTAAAGCAATGATCTTTTTTATAATGGGTCGTATCAAAAAAAAATAATTGCTTTAATTTTCTTTTAAATAATAATTCGCTTACTTGTTTTTGAAATACAATTAAAGCTGATATAACTTTAAAACTAGGCTACAATGAATGAATCTAAAAACAAAATGACACTAAAGTTTGAACTGTTATTAAATTGTTCCCGAGAGTAGACAAATTAAAATATATTGGATCCACAATAACCTCAATGAATGACCAAAGGTCAGAAATAAATCAGTGTTTAACAAGCGTAAACAGAGCATTGTTCTCTTTTTCAAAGGGATTGAAATCTTGAAATCTCAAGATCTTCAAATTAAGAGTGTACAATGAAGCCAGTTCTCATATACGGCTGTGAGAACTGGACCTTAACCAGTACCATAGAAAGAAGTATTGAAAGATTTGAGAGAAAATTCCTCTGTATAACAACCAGAGCAATCTGTAATCAGAATACTGACTCATGGAGGAGAAAGAGCTGCTTAAAGAAATTGGTCAATCAATATCACATGATATGAAGACTCGGAGGTTAAGATGGGCTGGGCAAAGCCTCTAAAAGACAATGAATGCCTCAATAAAAGGCAAAATATCATGTAGAAAGCCCAAAAGCAGATAATTAGATAGAATCAACAAAGATGCAATAGAGCTGCATGCAGATAACTGGAAAGATATAACTTAAGAGAAGTAGAGATGGAGAACATTAGTTAAGCTGGTAAAAGATCTACAAAGTCTGTAATACCAATAGAAAACAAAATCTCAATTCTGTAAAGCCCATTTTTCTGTTAATTAATTTAAATGGTTTTAACTACAACACATTTGTTATTTAATCATTTGCTTATATCTCCATATTCAATTTAGAATAGTTTAATTTTAACAATTATTAACTATAATGCATATTGTTTTACCTATCTCATTTTAGAGATACTCGTTTACTCACATATTAGTAAACTGAATCTAAGTTTTAATACAATTCATTTTGATATACAAATGTTCTGATTGAAAATATCACATATTAAGTATTGTGAGGATAAAAAAATATACCTGGTAATTTAGTATGCACTGATAGTACTGTATGTTCACCAACAGTCAAAATGTTCGCACCGTTGAATGCAGATATTGCTGACCCTCTCACTTCCAGCCAAGCTCTTCCACCATCATTTAGTTTTCGGCCTGATCTGTTTTGAAGTATTAATGAAAAAGACAACTGTATAAGAAACTCTTTATAATAAATAAAAAAACAGTTGATAGTGAATAATTGACTATGCCAACAAAATAAATACCAACTAATAAATACTTTTAGAAAAAATATTTATAAATTATCATCATGTAATATGTTCAGTAAATAATTTTTGGCTTTCAAATTGTATTTTATTTAATGACCTCTGGTTTCTCTTTATCATGGGAAACCAACCAGTGAACAGCATCAGAGGGATAATTTTTTTTGTAAGGATAATTCTGAATAGAGAAGTGTAATGTTTTTAAAAAGATTATCTATGGAAACATAGATATAGTGCAACAAATATCAATAGTTGTTGGCGGGGGGTGGCTGAATGGTCTAATGCGTGTGCACAGCACCACTGTTGCTCGGCAACCTGATATATGAGACAAAGTTATAAAAAATTGTCACGAGTTCGCGTTCTGGCCCTTTGGCCCAGGAAAACCCCATATATCCTTAAAGGTGAGGAAGGAGAGGAAAAAAAAAATATCATTAGTTGTAGGAAGGAAGGAAAGTGTGCTCAATGTTGGTTCCAAAATTAAAATAATAGCAAAATTATTTGTATATTGTAATCAAATGTGGGACTATTCTAGTCAATCATTAATGGTTTGCTGGAGAATAGAAAATAAAAAAGAGGGGGTTTTACCTCATAAGACAAATGCAACATTGTTAAAAAAAAAAATAAAAACAAAAAAAAAATATATATATAACCTAAAGCACTACAATCTTAAATCCAAAACCCTACTTCCACAACTTTAGAATATCTTTTCACTGATATTTTCACCATCTCATTTCCAGATTTCCTTGGTTCCAACTGTCTCCCTTCTATAGTATCCTTTGAGACTATTCTTTACAGCTTAATTCTTTCCTATTCCATATCATATTCTCTGTAAACATCAATACCAATCTACTGATTTCTTCCTCTGATCACGGACAGTTTTTTTTCTTTTCTCACCTACCTCGCCTTTTGGTCTATATGGGGTTTTTCCAGGGCCATGGGGGAGAGTGGAGGATTATTGCCCTCAGCACTGAGAATTGAACTCATCCTCAAGTTACTACGTAATCAGAAAATTACTATTGCAAATGCATTAGACCACTCGGCCATCCTACTTCTTTGATTACACTTACCTGGTCATATAAAATATAAGTTTTTGATTAATAGAAAGCAAACTATGCAATGAAGAAGTAATAATTTGTGGTAAGGAATAAAATATATAAGATTGTTATCAGGTTTATTTTTGTCTGATAAGTTATTTATATCTATTTTACTTTCTTGGTGAAAACAAATAATCAGCTCTAGTATTAATATGGATGTTTTATTTATTGTCTCTAGTTTTATTCATATTCCTAATTTGTATCATATGATAATTTTTCTTTATTGTAAAAAAATGTTTATCTATTAATTATTGCTTTATTGGAAACATGATAAAATATTAAAATTTGGTCACTTTTTTTACTAAAAAGTACGTCAATTTATTATTCTGAAATTTTCACATTTAAAGAATTGTCTAAAAAGAGGAAAAATCAGCAGAGAAAATCTATTATTGATTTTATAATAACACTAAAAACTATATTTTTTAGGCTACGTTTATTTTTTTTAAAAAGTTGTAAAATAATTTAAAACAATTTAATGGAAAATTTGAATTGATAGCGGGAAATTTATTATGGTTGAATTAACTATCAAATGCAAAATTTATGGATCTGATCAGTACAACTTTAATTTGACTGAGAATCATTAATGTAATGCTTTTCAAGTAAAAATAATAAGACACTTCTCAATTGCATTTTTACTAAATTATCGATAGCTATAAGTAGTCTATGCTCGATTAGTAGAAATTTTTAATGTATTAAATATAAATTACTAGCAGAGCTATTAATACTGTTATTATTAAATACACTATTTTCTTCTTAGGAAACTTTAAGCACTGAAATGAATTTATCTAGTGATTTTGTTCACAAGCTAGGCTGATTGAAAATACTTACTACTTACTATTATAAGTTTTTCACTACTATCAATTAAAGAATAAAGGGATGATCTCAAGCATGATTGTTTGAGTTTAGTAGAGGATAAATAAGTTAGGTGCATTGGTTTTTTTTTTGGATTTTGTTGGTTATCCACCAATAGAGCACTTAGCGAGTGGGGTTTCCATACCTGAAGGACCTGCAAGAGTCCAGAAGGTGCCAGTCACACACGTCAGGTGATAGGAAGCATGATTCTGTATAGTGTTTTGTCTGCTGTTATGTATTGTTTTACAAATTCATTACATGAAATTCATGAACTTTCATAGTATATTAATTTCTGTCAAACTATCGTATACAAAAAATTGTATTATTGGCCATTGGGGCTAAGAATGAGACATTACTAGTTAAAAATTAACATAATTGCAATTGTTCCTGTAATGTTAACTAAAAAAAAATTATGATTTTTGAGTTATGAGATTATTGTAGAAAATATGTTTTGTATGATTTAATAGATTTAATTAGTCTTTATATTTAAAAATGTGTTTTTATAGAGTTAGATATGCATACAATATCATATAAACTAATAATTTTGGTCTTGTAAAATATGAAAAGTTCTCAAAAAACAGAATAAATGGAAAAGCTTTGAAAAATTTTCAAGATGATAGTGTCCATATTTATCAGAAAGAGAGAATTAGATATCATAAGAAAATATCTATTGAAAAGCTTCATTTTACAAGGAGACTTAAACATACCTTGAGCAGTTATTATGCAAACAATGCCAAAAGCCTTTCTTATTTCAGTAATTAGATATCGGAAGCCAAGAATATAGAAGGATAAAACTGTTATTAGAATGTTTAAACATAATAATAATAGTTCGGCCTGTACAAGAAATTTTAATTGATTGAAAATGACTGCAATGATTTTGTAAAATTACCTCCTCGAAGATTTTGGTTTTATAGGAAGCATATCCTCATGGAGATGACATTTTACTTGTACTACTGGATCCACAGCCTGCCGCACCGCACTAGACATTTGAACTTGCAAACTTGCAGTATAAACTAAACCATCTGCATCCTGTAAAATAGGTATGATCATTAAAAATTTAAAGAATTAAAACATTTTCCAAAATACACCATAAACTCATACAGGATGTCACGTAAGAAGAGAGAAATTTCTATAGGAGTGATAGAAGATCTCAAGAGCTATAAAAAAGTTGATATAAACAATGGGCCAATTTTCAGAGGACAATTATATAATTGAAGTTTTGTGTTTTTTTTTAAGTGTTAGGTTTTTTGTTGAATAGGAAGAGATAACTAAAGAAATATTTAATTTAAGTAATTAATGATTGCTTCACTGTCAACTAGACAAAATTTAATGCAAATGAAGTTAGAGTTTGTCATTGTTAAAACCATTTAAAGTGAACCTTTGAATGGCCAAACTAAAATAAGTTCTGTTTTTAAAAAAATCATAAATTATTTGAGTTTTTTTTTTATCATCCAATTATACTACAGATACCCCAATTCCTTCTTTGATTACCTTAAAGTCCATCTTAATTAAGTGAATGTTTATTAGGGAAAAAATTGAGTTGTGTAAAACAATTATATGATTTTTAATCTGTTCCCTAAAAGCAACCGTTTTTTTTTTCAGCAAAAATGACTACAATTAATAGTTGCAAAGCTTTTATTACAAGTTTTCCATGATTTTGGATGCAGTATAATAAACATTATTGTCTAAATACACATTCAATTTATTAGAAAAAAAAATTAAAAATAACGATTTTTCTGATGATACTGTTTATAATTTTAATAAGCTTATTCACATTGTTTACAATTTTGTTTTCTTTTCTTTCTAAATTTTATGTAAATTCCACAATTCTCTATATATTTTTTTGGATCTTGTCCATTCTAGCCCTGAAGAAGACCTGCAAAGTCGGGTCGAAATGTTGGCTTTTAATAAAATAGTTTTGCCACTATTTAGTCTATTTATGGCCGCCACCCCAGACCATCTTCCTTTCTAATGATTTTTCAAATGTGTTTATTATAATGCATTCAAGATCATTAAAAAAACATGAAATGAAGCTTTGCAGAAATTAATTTTAGTAATTTTTGCTGAAAACACCGATACTTTTAGGGAACAAGATTTTTTTTTTACAAAACTTGAGGTGAATCTCAATTTTTTCCCAAATAAATCTTCACTTAATTAATATGGGCTTAGAGATAATTAAACGAGGACGTTTTTCTAAAAGTAAGGTGTCTGTAGTATAGTTGCATGATGATAAAAATGAAATTGTGAATAATTTTTGATTTTTTTTAAAACCATAACATAGCTTAGTTTAATCGCTTAATATCCATTTTTAAATAGTTTTAACAATGACACACTCTCTCTTCATATGGAATTGAATTCATCTAGTTTACAGTGAATCATTTGTTAATTACCTAAATTAAATACTTCTTTAATTATCGCTTCCTATTTAACAAAAAGCATGACTTACTTAAAAAAATACAAAACTTGGATTTTCTACGTTCCTGCTGAAAATTGGTCCATTGTTTACATGAACTTTTTTGTAGTGCTTGAGGTCTGCTATCATTCCTATAAAAATTTCCCAGTATTTACAGGACACCCTATAAAATTTTAAGGCATTTATAAACAATTATAACACTCAAGTCTTAAAGAAAACTTGAATGACTGTGAAGGAAATCTTTGAATTCTTAAAAATAGTCAAATTGTATAACTGAGTGTAAGCAAAATGTGTTGCCAATGACCTTGTAAGCTAGAGGCAACACACAAAAAAACATAATAAATAATTAAATTATAAGGTAATGAATAGATTTATTATGAAATTATTGTTGTGTTGCTGAATACGTTTTGGATATTGAATAGTTGACTGTTGCATTATAAAGGAAGGAGATGGTCCGGAGTGGCGGTCATAAAAAGGCTAGTGGCAAAACAATTTTATTAAAAACCAAAGTTTCGACCCGACTTTGCAGGTCTTCTTCAGGGAGATGTGTTCAGGTAGGAGTTTCAATTAGAACTGATAGAACTAGAGTTCTAAGTGAAACTACTAGCTGAACACACCTCTGTGAAGAAGACCTGCAAAATCAGGTCGAAATGTTGGCTTGTAATAAAATAGTTTTGCTACTATTTAGCCTTTTTATAACCGCCAACCCGGACCATCTCCTTCCTAAATACATTTTATATCAATTATATAAAAATTGCATTGCTATATGGATGAATCTTCAAAGCGTATTTATTTTTGAGATTTTAAAATATCTTAAATTGACTAATTATTTATTTTATTTTAAACAGTATCAACATTTTTATTTAATTAATCTATTAATGTGTCAAACAGAATATACTGATAAATTTTGTAAATAAACTGGAGAAAAAATTAGTAGAGATATTATGTCCATACAAATATCTTATTTATTGTTTATTCGATATTAAACTAATTTAAGAAAGTATTCTTCAAAAATATAGCAATTAAGAAATATAATTCAAATGGAAAAACCCTATGTGTATTCTGATATAGTTCTCTCTATATTGCTTTTATGTAACTACCATTACCACCATGTTTGATAGTTCTAAGATCTTCCGCTAGACAGCTCTGCATTTTAGAATTCCTCCCTGATACTTTTAATAAGGATAATAATCACTAGCGGATCCAGGATTTAATTTGGGGAGGGGGAGCTTCAGCCCGAAACCCTTTTTTTCCCATAAAAATAACGATAATTACTTTGGTAAAACAGAAAGAAACTAACTACCTATATGAAATGGTGTTTAAGTGATTCCTTAAGTCCTTTTAAATGTAATTACTGGAACAATAATACTTTAAGGGATATTTTTTAAATCTTTTTTTCCATAAAACATGGTTATATATTATCATTTTGAAGGGGGGGCTTCAGCCCGAAAGCTCCCTCCCCGTAGATTCGCCCGTGATAATAATAATAATTACATTTTAATGAAATTACATTTATTATATAATTAATTGTATTAGAAAATGCAATAGAACAATTATTCCACAGTTTAGTGATATTTAATTCTATTAACTGGAAACGTACATTAGGCAGAGATACGACAATATTCTTCTTCGAAAACAGGGAAAAATATGTTTATGAATGTTATAAATTCTTAAATTAATGCATACGTGTATGTTTTACTGTTAGAGGAAAATGTATAATTCTGTTGTTCGATTATTTACGCCACAAATTACAGAATTCTTTAAAACAAAACTAAGTTATTTGATCCAGCAACTCGCATATTTCACAATTTTATTTACCTTTGATATTCTGATACCACACTGCCTGGGATTGATAGCGATGGAAACCGATGGACCGGTGCCCCTTGCCTGCGCACACTCGGAACCTTTGGAAGAAACCAGTCCGTGGAAGTCTCCCGAAAATATGAGTGTTACATTCATCCAATGCTCATCACAGCTGCTTTTTACATCTGAAAGCAAGAAAATTAGTATATACATTTACAAAATATTTATAGAATGGTGCGACAGTCATTTTCAAGAAAATAGTACTTTCGATTACCTACTGTTTCCAAAAATTCATAGATCTTAACAGGAAAAACTTATCAAATTATATTATAAATCTCTTAGGGTCGTCTCTGTAGCCAGTTTAAAATGACGCATACAAACACGCACCCGTAAACATGACACAAAATAAATGTCACCGTTCATTATTGAACATAGATTTTTAAAACACCCATATATCACTGAAAAAGTATATTTGTTATTTAGAAAAAAACATTAGATATATTGAAATACTCTCTATATTTACAGAATAGGAAAAAGTTTTGCTCATTAGGCTTCTAGTTTTTCAAAATAAATAGAATAAGATATATACATCAGTACATAGGTATTGATAACCTCATGAACGTCAAGCGTGTTACCACAATATTAAGGCGGAAAGAATTTCAATTTAACCTCCAGGATGAAGTAGTTATTTCTTGTGTAGGACTTCTACACTGAATGGTTAAATGAAGTGATTTTAAAAACATAATAACTATTTAATTTATCTCAAATGAGTGGCACGGTGTTTTTTAAATCAAATACCCCGTGGTTGTCCTGTTTTCTAATTAATGGCTAGTTACCGCAGTTTCGTTTATTTTTTTTTTGTTCCTAATTATAGATCCATGAGAGAAGTATGCAATATTAATTGAAAATTTTCATAACCTCTACAACCCATGAACGCAACGTAATCAATAAAATTAAGGGTTTATTTATATCGTATAGATTGATAATGGAAAAAATTTATGCATGTCATAATCATGAAGCTATTGTAATCATTATCTAGGATGATGGTAGAAGGCATTGCATTAGTTAGAAGTTTAATTTTTTCTCGACAAACTACTATCAAATACCTAATGGAACATTAATTTTGAAAATTACACGGATGACTGTTAGTTCTATATCGCCATTTTCTTTGATTGGATGGAGAACTAAAGATCTGCATTTCTTAATCTTCCACTTTTGAGTTAAAGTTTTCGAAACATCTGTACAGTTAATCATAAGGGATGTGCTTAAATCTTATAATTGTATTAAAATATAATATTTTTATAACAATGTAACTTCTACAATATCTTCTTATATTCCATTAATTTTAATTTTGTAGGAAATAAATTGATCTCACCTGTCAACGCTGGTTTTAGGCTCATCACTGGAATGAAGGAGCTCAGAAGGAGTAGCCATCGAACCGGTGGCATTTCCCTGAAATATTTCAAAAGATTATTTTTAATTATTAATCAATTAAATCGAAATTTGGATAGGTAATAAAATACAAAGGAAAATAAACTTATCATAAAAAAACAAAAACCTTAACAAAACATCATAATATTTTTAATATATATATATATATATATATATAATGTATTAGTAATTTAATATTTTTATAAAAACAACTAATTATATTTAGTCCATTGTATAGATCCCTTAATATTAAATTATTAACATCTGCCTAAAACTTCGTGAATAATTTCATCTCTAGGAAACTACAGTTCCCTAAGAATAATAACATTGTTACATATTTATGGGTCTTAGTCTGGCTTAGAAGAATACAAAATACAAACTAATTAACTGTTGATTGTTATTGCAATTTCCAGTTGATTGAATTAAACTGTATACAGACGCAAGTAATTTCACATATTTGCGGAAATTTGAATGTGGAGTAGGTGCTGGAACAGGAGTGGTTTGAAGTAATTTGTGGAAAAGGATAGATGTATGGAGGTAGAGAGTTCCAAAAAGAGATAGTACGAATGACGAAGTATTTGCTGTAGGAAGTAGTTTTGTGGGAGAGGATTTATAAATCTCTAGGTTGAGATCTGGCATTAAGCGAGTCGATAGAAGAACGTAAAGTATGGAGTTCCAGGATGTAGGGAGAGTTTTTGGTTCTGAGGACTTGGAAAAAGAAAACACCAAGGAGGAATTGTCTTCGGGAAGTAGGATAAAGCCTCTAATGTCAAAATTCTCAAATATATACTGAAAAGATTAGTCCATCAAAAGTGTTCTTGCAATGGAAGGTTATAAATGGGAGCTTCAGCCCTTTCCAATAAAGATAAGAGTGTTGGAATTTTGTAAATACGTTTATTGGTGTTGGACATGTAGTAAGTACTTTTATGAATTATGAATAGCTTAGTAAGATTTCTCGAAGGAACCCCGAGACGTTGCCGTGTTTCTCACTACTATGCCCAGTTAGGGTGGCTCTTTCCCTCCTTCAGAAGACAATATTTCCCTGGCACATTTCTTTACCAAATAATCAACAATCATCGCCTGTCCTATGTATACAATCTCCTCCAATTTAAATCATCTATCCACTCCCTCTCACAAGATCTCGTCCTTCTGACCTTTACACCCCCTTTCCATAGATCTGCTTCATTTCAACATTCCTTTATTTTCCACGCCTCCACCTTTTGGAATTCTATCCCACTTAAAATCCGCCATGCACTATCCTTATCCACATTCAAACCCTCTTATTCCAATTCCTTTTCACAATCCAATCAGATGCTGGTTAATTATGTATTATCTAACAAGGATAATATTTTTTTTCTTTTCTTTTCATACACCATTATTTTATTTTATTTTTTGTTTATTATTGTCGCAATTGCTTTCTCATAAAATTAATTTAGTGCCCCTTCCTAATTGTATTTGCCTATTTATTGTTATTTTATATCTCGTATGCCAGGATAATGCAATATCGTGATCCCGTTGACCATCCTGTCATTAATATAGTATAGTACAGTATAGTTTATTTTATTTGTCTAAGGAAATTCCTGTACAAATAAATATAACGGTATAATTAACAATGTTAGAACTTGAGTCTAGTACTGCATTCAAACATAACATTAACAATGTCCATAGCATTAAGTATAACTAATATAATAACAGATTAGTAAACGATATATATATACATAAATAATTAGTAAAACGTTTTATTTTTTCTTCTTTCATTAATATATCTTTAATCTATGTCTATATTTTGTATGTTTGGGTTTTAACATAACAAGTCAATACTTTTTATTTAAGTATTTTTTTTCTTTTCTGTTGGTTTTGCTTTTTCTTTCTATACATGTAATGTTTTTTTTTTTTCATTTTTTTTTTTCAGTTCAATTATAAGTATAGTCGAGAAGATTTTATTTTATTTTAAATTGTTTACATACTATAATTTAAGTTGTTGTATATATTGTTTGAACCTTTATTAGGTTAGTTTTTGGCCAGATATGTATTTTTTCTTTTGTAACTGTTCATTATTGTTATTCTAAGGGGACATCGTCCCAGAATAAAGTTTATTTTCTATTTCTACTTTCGGGGTGATTCTTTTCCCCTACAACGTATACAGGTAGAGAAATGGACTGTTATTGTATTCATTATATTTCAGTGTAGCAAATTACTAATTGATATAGCTAATTATATGCCCAGTAGAGGCGGTAAAGACAGACGACGATGGCCGCTAGCGAGGCAAATGGTGAGCAGTAGCGGCCGTTAGGGGTTACAGTTAGCCCTCACCTAGTTCCGAGAGCACGCTGACTCAGCTCGTCTTTAGGCAAAAAATACAGGCCCCTTTCTTCCTCTCCTCGAATCTGGGCTACCCTGGTCACCTTGCATTGTCTTCCGCGCCTTCCTACTTTTAAGACCGTTTCACGCCTTTTCAAGCCGGCTATTGCATCCCCTTTTAGCGGCAGAATTACCTTTTCTTTTATTAGTTGAGTTTCTTTGTTATGTCTGAGCATCTTTCATGATGCCATGTAGAAGCAGGTTAGGGAAAGCACACGTACGGCAAGAAAGGGGTAGGGGGTTTTCTTCAAGGAGCTGATTTACTTTTTGGATTATCATGTTCTGAGGACAATTTACTTAACTCTACGGGTGCTTAAAAGCGCGCATTTTTAGAGGGTTTCTGTATTTTTGAATGGAACTATATTTTTATGGAATATTAATTGGAGAGAACTTCCAAACTAAACTACAAATTTTATAATTCTACATTTATTTTCACTGTTATTAATGAGCGGAGATGAATAAAATTTCTTGGGGAGAGGGACATGGTTCTTCGTTCTTGGTGTTGATGGGTACAGGCGGATCTACGGAGGGAGAGGGGGGCTTTCGGGCTGAAGCTCCTCCCAAAATGGTAAAATATAACCATGCTTTACATAAAAAAATATTAAATACTATCTCTTAAAGTATTCTTGTTCGTGTAATTATATTTAATAAGACTTCAAGAACCAATTAAACACTATTTCATATAGGTAGTTAATTTCTTTCCTTTTTTTAAAAATTAATTATCGTTATATGTATATGAAAAAAAATCTTTCGGGCTGAAGTCCCCCCTCCCCCTAAAAAAAATTTAAATCCTGGATCTGCTAGTGTTGATGGGTACCTCTGCTTAGCCCTTTAACTGCTTTACTGCCAAATGTATTAAATATTCACTTAGATATCTTCATAACGTTTTAAAACGAAACCATCGTTTGAGGGGCCGGAAGCCAGGTTAACGCAGACGCTGGACCCCTCTGACGAAAATATGGTCGAAAGTCAAAAACCTCAGCTCATGTGTGACAAGAGTCCGCATAGCATGCTTCTAGTCACCTGCCGATACAATAATGTAAAGCATCGTATAGCTGAATTCCTCTAAATGAAGAACTATAAATATTTCTTCGAAGTTTATTGCCTGGATACAGAAAAGGAAGCACTAATAGTGAATCTCAATATCAGATTGGTCCAACGACCATGATCATGACGTCAAGGTACAGGCAGAGAAAGTGGAAATTTATACGAAATGCATACCTTCCCTGAAGGAAAAGTACAGAGATGAATTCGGCAAGAGA